AAAAATCAATAGACGCGCCATCAAGTAGTTCACTTCGGTTCAAAGACAACGCTTTATGGAAATGAAAGAAGTTGGTATTGCGTTTCTGTATTTAGGTTAGATTTGTCACGTCGAAGTATTCCCATGCCGATGAGTGAAGGAGTCTCCGCACACCAGTGAGTAACGGCCTCTTTTCAACCCGAAGCTATTGGAAACACACAATGTTGCATGTGAACAGGTCTGAAGGGAACGAGAGCGACTGCCGGCAGTTGGATTAGACCGATGACGATTTCGACACTCTTGGTAGAGAGCGGAGGAACAACCTCACCATTGTGTTCGGGACGATCACGTTTGCCGCCTTCTTTTCAAACGTCTCCCTGGTTGTGTATATTGTGGTGCGACGCCTGTTCAAGAACTTCGTCTCCAGTCATTTCATTGCCAACCATGCCATCATAAGCATGCTGGCTTGCGTATACTTGATACCAATCTTTATTAGCAACGTCAACACTGCTAGTAATATCTTGGGCAACGACGGTTACAATCAAAGCACCGCTTTATGTCGATTTCATGCTTTTATTACCTGTACCGTCTGGTCAGCCACGTACTACATGACCACCTGTATTGCAGGAGTGCACCTGCTGACCTTCGCCCGCATTCACTACGAACAGATGTTCGGTTTGCGACCTTCGATCATATGCGTTCTCAGCTGGATTATAGGGGCCGCCCTCGGCCTGCCATGCCTCACAAATGAGTCAATCGTTGCTTATGATCAAAAGTACCACTACTGTCTTTGGAACCATAACCAAAACGGATGTAAGTTTCTCGCTTACTTTCTGTCGTTGGGTATCTTGCTGCCTAGCGGACTCACCATTTATTCGTACACTCGTGTGCTGCTCATATTTTATCACGCACCGATTGTGTTTGAGACACTTGGGCTGTTTCGGAGTCGATACATAATCTTTTTCATACTTCTAAATCAGTTTTTTCAATGGCCATTTTTCGTCAGCCGTTTCCTATATCAGCCCGGAATGTTCGGTGGCGTCCTCATTATGTTCTTAACGTATTTGCCTAACTTAAGTTTGGGACTCGCCTACGGGGTGTCCTTATTTTTGATGAAAGAGGACGACATTGCCCTCACAACTAGAAGTCACAA